CATCAGTATCATCATCCCCAAATCCATATGGATGAGATTGAAAGATTGATTAGGGAGATGCTGGAAGCAGGGATTATTCAACCCAGTATCAATCCATTTTTTAGTCCAGTGTTATTGATTAAGTGCTTTAGCAGCAATTTCCTTCGTTCCACCTTGAGGGAAATGTGGCATTTGGGGGGCGGGGGGGATAATTGGATCGGTCCAGCCGATCCACTAGGGATCGGCTCAGACGGACAAAGGCGAAACTCTTCTGCCTCTCCTACATGCTGCTAGAAACTGTCGGGTCCAAGGGAGCTTTTTGGGAAGGATTTTTGGGGTAGTTAGGAGGGAAATTTAAATGTAGGGACTGTTTAGGAATTTTCTTTTGATTTGTAAGCATTAAATAGTTTGTTTTCCAAGGGTTAGAACATTTGGAATTTGGCTGAAATTTGAGATCTAATAGGCTTTCTTTGGGCTCTAGCGGCATCTAGTGATTTGGGAGAGATTAATCCTCCTCTCAAATAGAGGATCAATTGTATCTTGTTATTTTCTTCTGTATTTTATTTCTTGCAATAAAATTATTATTTTTCATTGATTTTCCATTGGAATCGTGGAGATTTCTCACTGTTTTTTCTCTCTTGAAAGGATTTACTTGAAATCTTCAAGTGTTTCCTATCAACATCTCATTTCATGAATCTTAGCACCCTTAAGGATATCCTAGTTGCATTCTAATTTGAGTTGGACTAAATTCAACTTGACTTAATATACCCAAATTTTCCTTGTTTCTTTTTAAGCTGACGTAGGTTCTCAAATGACCTCTAAAGAGCACTAGCAATTCTTAGGATTAAATCCTAAGTTGTATATCATATTGGTTGATATAAAATCAACAAGTTATCATTGCCCCTAGACATAGCAGTCAAATCTTAGTATTCTTCATTTGCTTAGCCTCAAATTAGGCAAATGAATCTCTCTTTGAACACTAAAAGATCAAAGAGTCTTCCCCAATTCACAGCCCCTAAGTTTCCCTTAGCCTCTCTCTTTTTATGAACCCAAAAATTATGAAAAATTCTCCATCTCCCTTAGCCTAAGAGCTATCAAATATCCTTCTACCTCTTTACTTAGTGTCTTCCCCAAACTCATATGAAAGTTCCGAAATGGCTTTTAGAGAGTTTAGGAGAGCATTAGCAACCCTTAGAAAATAAAGGTACATCCAACTAATTTATTTGTTGAATAAAATCAATAAATAATCTAATCTCATCTTAGCTCCTTTTCATTCTCCTAACCCAAGTTGGGTGAATGAACACCTCTATTTGAACACCTAAAAGTTCAACGAACTCATTATGATTTTTAGTCCAAAACTATACAACATTCTCTTATTTTCCAAATGTACTTGCTTCATTCTCATTAAGTAAATCAAACACCTCTCATTGAACACAAAATTTCAATGATCCCTTTATAATTTGTAATCCCAAATATCCCAAAGTAGCAAGTGATAAATTGCATGAAATAAAATTAAAATCCAAATATTACAATAACAAAGTAACATAAAATATAGAAATTGCATAAAAATATCATATAACATCAAGTTCAACTTCAAATTCTTCTTTTTCCTAATTCTCTACTCATCGACATTTAATTTATAAAGACAGGTGAAATAGTGGCAACAACTCAAAAATTATCTGCAATGTAATCATTAAGGGGGTCTTTATTTGAGTCATCATCATAATAAATTGGTAACTCCCTTGCCTCATCCTGTGGAGTTCAACGCCTTGCAACCTACTTCTTCAATTATTTCAATTACACTCCTATTTTATAAATATTTGTCATCAAATAAATATGAAAGTAATTCTCCAAATATTTTAGAGGTGGTAGTGTGTTGCTTTGAAGTAATCCCTGACGACGACTATGATGGTGGTGGTTGTGGCGAAGGCGGCGAGCTAGAGGTTTAGGCAATCGAGAGAAAACTGTTGTGACTTATGATTTGTTCGGAACTTATAGTTTAGGATTTAGATAAATTTTAATAAAAAAATATATAAATGGGGTGAAGCGTACATGCTAGTGAGAAGATGCATGCCTTGAGGAGCGCCTCAGCCAAACTGCGGTGTAACACCTCATAAAAAAGCTTGAGGCATAAGCCTCAAAGCGCTTTTCAGCATAATTGTGTTGAGATAATTCTCATATTGCATAATTTTAAACAAGGTGGCCTCCAAGTTCTCCTAGTGATGTCGTATAAGACCATCAACAACATCAATGGCATCCCACTCCTCTATGTTGCATATGAATTGTATGAACTCACTATTTGTGATCATGTCTTCTAGATTTTCCACATTCTACGCTTTATTATTCTAAATAATTTCATGTCTAAGGAATGTGAGCTTCACATTTTTGGTGGAAATATGATCACTAGGTGCATTGGGCTTCCTGCCTAAGTTTTCGCTTGTCCCACTATCCATGATCTCATAAGTGGGCAGGATTGGTTCAAGCTCTCCATGAGTCGCACGTGCTCAAAAGCAACCTGATCTCCAATAATATAAGGCATGAAGGAGTTTGATCCTTGAATGTAGTTTGGGAAGCTGAAGTCGTTGGCCGCTCGCCTACGCTCAAGGGACGCGCTGATGGGGGATCGACCATCATTGTGGTAGACCTACAAAACATGTCCAAGATGAATGTCCAATTATGTTATACTTGACTGAGTGATCGTGAAGTCAATAGGAGGACATGTTCGAGAAAAACCTATATAAATGGGTGGAATGTCGGGGGTTATCAAACTGCTTAGGCGACAAGCAATCTGTTTCGGGTACTTGTGTGGGTAACTCTTCAAATAAACATACACGATCACCGACCTCCTCCTAGCCTCAACCAATACGAACTGACAGACCTCCTCATCCTTCATACGGATTGCGATGTGGCCGGCATTATTATATAGTCGACATGCAAGGTTAAGTGTATGTTTTGTTATCGCGATGTAAGGCTCAAAGAATTCTAAATTTATATTGGTCAAATGTTAACATGTCACTAATCTCTAGAGGTGTACTTCTTCCCCACATATATATTGGTGTAAATTCATCTGTTAGTTACAGCTCTCCATCATAGAAAAAGAGCAGGCGCAACATTTCTACTAATGATCAATCAGGGAGTACATATATCAGGCATACACTATAAAACATTTAACTAAGTTGTGTTGGGATGATCGATAACCCTTGACAGAAGGGCAGTAGATCAAATTTAAAAATTAATTAACTAAATTAAAATAATATTTTTCTAAAATATTATATAAATTAAAATAGAAAATGTATCTTAGAATATTTCAACATTTTACTACAAATATATTAGTGTTCATATATGAAACCAAAACCTAAACATGCAAAAAGAATCACATTTAGCAGAGCGGCCTCAATTTATCTTATAGGATCACTTATATATTCCTACCCTAAACACAGTGGCCCAAGGTTCCTCTCTATTGAATACATTATTATCACTCAAATATTTTCACAATATAAATATTTCACAATATATCATGTTGAGTTCTTCAACTATCCACCTTACACCCTTTTTCTCCAGACTTAAATTTGTTAGTGAATTCATCAATATAATCTAAGATATATCAATATCACAATACAACATGATTTAGTTTGGTCTAAAATAATTAACTTTGATAATTTGGAAATAAAACAGGATGATATCGACTTAACTCCTCGGTTATCTTTCCGAAATCTCGCTAATTTCTTTCAAACTTGTACTCTCTACGGCTAAAATATGGTGCTTTTTATAGCTCCGAAAGGAATCAAAAAAGCAAACCCACTTGCGTGATTAAAGAGAATGGATGGGTTATTGGTCGGTGATGATGCGAGCAGAAACAAAAACTCAAGGGAATTAACAGAAGAAAACGCAAAGTCAAATTCAGTTTTCTCATAAAACCGAAAACCGATTTGAGTTTTCTAGAGAAAATGCAAAGATGTTTTCAATTTTCTAAGAAAACTGAATTTGGCTTTGCATTTTCAATAGAAAACACAAAACAAGTCAAGGTTTTCTTAGTAAAACCATAGAGTGTTTTGCATTTTATCCCTTTGGCCTAAAATCACAAATTCATTTTGTGTTTTTTATTCTTTTTTTTTTATTATGTTTCTTAAGCGTAATTAAGCATTACAGGTGATCCTTTCAAAAATTTAGCCCTTTTATTACTAATTTATTAGAATGTGGCAATTATGAAAAAATTATTGCCCAACTTTTTCAAGTAAAAAACTTATAATATGCATAGCAGCTTTCAAAAAATATTATTTTCTCTACAAAATTTTTACACATAGAAAACTATAGCTTCCCCAAATGACCCTAATGGCTAAAGCTACAGCAAAAATAGTCATAGAATTGCTGTAAGAAAAATGAAATCTTTTAAAGCTATTGAGAGTATTACAATATTTTTTTCCTTCTGAATTTGATAGCACCTTTCTTAGAGTGTCAAGCTCTAACCGATCCGGTTGTGAGAAACTCCTTGTCACAAAAACTTTCAAAAAAATAGCAAGAAAGTTGAGGACAAACAGAAAGGTTGCTTAAACTGTAAAGCTGTGAAAAAGCTATACTAAATACACCCTAAGTGTTATAAAAAATATTTAAGTTAGAGTAGCGTTTGCATATGATAACTCCTAAAATATTTAAAGTGACTTCCTCAGATCAATCTCAACTCACCAATAGAGCTCAACGGGAATTAAATACAAAAAATAGAATGATTATTATAAATAGCCTCCTCAAAATTATTACTCCTTTCCAAATCAACACTCAAAATCAGTTTTATGAACAATCATACTACAATAATTTGCCATTAGCATTGGTTCTCATAATCTCTCATTATTAAAGTTCAAAGTACCCAATAGGAAGTGTAATGGACATGTCCTGGGTATTGAATACTATGGCATTCTTTTAAAGACATAAGAAAATAAGAGGGAGAAAAAATGATAACGATTATACTATGTAAAGATAAGGAATTTTATAGCTAATCAGACTAAGAAGCCTAATGTTCAGTATACCTTGCATAGCCCATTCAGTTGTTTCGGAAGTAGCTGCATTAGATTGGCTCCCGGCAGTTGCATTTAGGGCTGTAATCAATAGATTATTCGAGTAAATAAAGAGACAAAAGAAGGAAGGAGACAATTGATAATATGCTCTAGTGAATGTTACGAAATAAAATATGCAAGCCAAACCTTTTCATGGAAATTATACAAAATCACAAAAAAACATAGTGAGCATGAAACACAAGTAAATAAGTAGGAAATTAAAATGATGTAGATAAATAAAAATAGGCGAGTTATGCCTTTACTCTCATAATTTGGGGTCTAAAACGATTGTGTATAATATCTATTCATTTTTCACCTTGATATCCCCCAAATTTGATCCCAATTTAGATTAAATGACAAAAAAAATCACCGTAAGGTTTTATATGCCAAAATTAATCATTGGTCAACATTGCCAAAGGTTATCCCTTGCCACCTTTAGTCGCATAAGACTACAGTAACTAAAACAATCGGTAGTCAACTCATTGGTACGAGTGATTGCCAACAAAAAAGGGTGGTAGATTAGTAATTGCATGGGCTCAATTATGACATTTAATCATCCATCAACAACATAGTAACAGTATAAGTACCCAGAAGAAAACCAAAATTAAATTTCAAGATTTAATGTTGAAAACATTGAAAAGTTTAGACCCATCTTTACTAAACTCAAATTATAGGAACCTAAATGTAATTTATAAAAACTGATACATATATAACAAGTAAATTTCCCAAACATAAAGAAGTGAATATTTGATGGTGTGATTATCTCCAATAAACAAGATGCAAACTTCTATTAACATCCTATGGGCAAGAAATAAGGTTATTTCAATGGTCTAACACAAACATGGTTTTGAAAGCACAAAATAGATAAATATTAAAATTATCAAACCATGTGAAAAGGAGTGCCATATCATGAACGTGGTATATCAAGGAGAATATTTTGACAAAAGATTCTTCTATATCTTCGCAATACCTGGTCAACTAAAGATACCTATTGCACTTAAATCACCTATATGAGTACCTGGTCAAACTAAAGCACGAGGAGAATACTATTTTGAACCGTCCTCTCTTTGAATGTTAGCCTAAGAACAAGAAGAGAAAAAACTAGCTTTGAAATCTAAGATGAATAACATGTTCACCAAGATCCTATTCATAGCCTAAGTTAGACATTTGAAGCATTATGGTAATTGTGCATATGCTAGTCAAGTGACTGTAGTTCTGTTATGATGACTCCCATAGCAGCATTGCGAGTGCAATTGGGCATGTAGGCTTTATACAGTTCAAGATTACCAAATAAACTAAGAAATTTAAATATAATGATAAGAAAAATTATCATCCCTGAGGATCATGCATAGATTGGTACTAATTAAGGTAGCCCGACATATGGAAGTCCTATTTGATTGCCACATCATCCTAAAGATTAGTACAAGGATGATTAAGCAATGACATGAATCAGAAAGTGTTAAACCCAAATAGTCTTGGTCAGCCTAAACTGAGCTAGGACCAAATAATATAGCGGTTAATAGGTTTATACCAATCCAAGTCTTTTTAGTCAAGGCTTTGGCAAACGGGTTGGTACGAGCGATTGTCAACAAAAAAGGGTGGTAGATTAGTAATTGCATGGGCTCAATTATGATATTTAACCATCCATCAACAACATAGTACCAGTATAAGTACCCAGAAGAAAACCAAAATTAAATTTCAAGATTTAATTTTGAAAACATTGAAAAGTTTAGACCCATCTTTACTAAACTCAAATTATAGGAACCTAAATGTAATTTATAAAAACTGATACATACATAACAAGTAAATTTCCCAAAAAAAGAAGTGAATATTTGATGGTGTGATTATCTCCAATAAACAAGATGCAAACTTCTATTAACATCCTATGGGCAAGAAATAAGGTTATTTCAATGGTCTAACACAAACATGGTTTTCAAAGCACAAAATAGATAAATATTAAAATTATCAAACCATGTGAAAAGGAGTGCTATATCATGAACGTGGTATATCAAGGATAATATTTTGACAAAAGATTTTTCTATATCTTCGCAATACCTGGTCAACTAAAGATACCTATTGCACTTAAATCAACTATATGAGTACCTGGTCAAACTAAAGCACGAGGAGAATACTGTTTTGAACCGTCCTCTCTTTGACTGTTAGCCTAAGAACAAGAAGAGAAAAAACCAGCTTAGCCTAAGTTAGACATTTTAAGCATTATGGTAATTGTGCATATGCTAGTCAAGTGACTGTAGTTCTGTTATGGTGAGTCCCATAGCAGCATTGCGAGTGCAATTGGGCATGTAGGCTTTATACAGTTCAAGATTACCCAATAAACCAAGAAATTTAAATATAAAGAAAAGTAAAATTATCATCCCTGAGGATCATGCATAAATTGGTACTAATTAAGGTAGCCCGACATATGGAAGTCCTATTTGATTGCCGCATCATCCTAAAGATTAGTACAAGGATGATTAAGCAATGACATGAATCAGAAAGTGCTAAACCCAAATAGTCTTGGTCAGTCTAAACTGAGCTAGGACCAAATAATATAGCGGTTAATAGGTTTATACCAATCCAAGTCATTTTAGTCAAGGCTTTGGCAAACGGGTTCAACCTTCCAAGGAGGGGGGCGATAATCGCCCCCTCCTAGTTGATACCCAAGGGAAAAATAAAGATGGTGTTGGTTTGGATGATTTTTTTCAACCATGGCCTATTATGATGGCTAAGGAAGTGAATTGTCGAAGGTGATCCTTTTTGGTCAAAGAGACAATCAATAATGCAACCGCTCTATGTTTTGCAAATGATTGTGATGGAGAGAATCGGTTATTATTATCATTGATGATTTCTTGAAGATCAACAAAGGTGGCAAAGTGCATGCAATCCACCCAAATGATCAAAGAGATGGGCCAACTTAGTTGCGTGGGGAGCGTTAGACCTTTGCCAACCCAATTCCATAATGGGCCACAATTGAATCTTGGATAAGGAGGTCAAACGGGGCCTTGGATTGATTTGAACCTATTAGCAACCTAATAATCATTTGAGAAAAATCAAGGTTATAGCTATTGTGCACTAATTTAAGATGTTGTAACAAATCAGCAAGACTGAAAATGGGTTGTGGGAAGCCATCCCCTTACATAAAGAGGAGACAAATATCATCATCACTAGTGCATACTTGTAGCCTTGTCAAATTGCTTGCAAATAGTTCATGAAGGGTCCAATACCACTGAAAGGGCACAAGCTAGTAAGTCCCAAAAGAGTGATGGCCATTTAACCACCGCATTAAACCTCTAACAACTACCTAAAATACAAGTGGCAACCAACCATCAAGTTTTTGAGAGGGGGTGAGGGCGAACCCTAATATAGTCATGTCATACTACATCACTTAGTAATCATATACGAATAATAATTGCTGTGTATATTACTCAAATAAATTCATAAGGGGACACAATTGCCCAAGGATGGTGGAGCTAAAATGGAAATAACAAGAATGTTCCTTAATTGTGAAGTGACCATAGTTAATTACTGAGTCAGTTTCACAAGGTCGTCACTTCACTGTTAGTTGTGAAAGAGCCATGTGACATTATCACGCGTATGTGTAAGAGTTTCCCATGGTCACTCTCATCTAACTGATAAATGTCCATCTAACCACCACCGCATTTGGCAACATGATAAAGAGTGTATTTCGATGTCAACAAGAGGGATAGACCATTTGACAACTCCATTAAATGCCTCTAGCTAAGCTATCGCAAAGGATACAAAGTAAAATGGGTGTATACTATTATAAATGCAAGGGTTTTAAAAATGTTAGTGCTTGGTTTGACGTAAAAAAGAGTGCAAAATAAAATTCTTAAGTATTTAAAATTGACCCTCGAGTTTAATTTTGTGCATTTGAAAATCGTTGGATTTGAAGAATTACATATACAATGTATATTATTTTCTATTGTCGCCCTCCACCACTACTTGTTTCCTGCCTGCTGCCTACCACCTGCCATCGTTGCCTCCCACTACAGGCCCCCACCACCCACCATCAGCCTCCACCCCCCACCAGCAGCCACCACTGCCATTGGTGATGCACCCTCCACTGCTCCTGCCATCTGTCACCCATCAACATCATCATCGGCTACAACCCCACCGGCCGCCACTGACCGCAGCCCCATCCCCACCAACTACAGCCAGGCACCACCAATACCGAACTTTACAATGTATTCATTTAACTTCAACCCAAATAAAAAATATATTTTTTTCTTACATTTTATTTTAAACTTATCTGAATGACTCCAAAACATTTCAAATATAATGCATTCTTTTGTACATTACATTTATTATGCTCTGCATTCATTTTTCCGCAAACCAAACATTCCCTAAAGCAAAAATGGCTTAGTGGAAGCTAAGAGATAAAAAACTGAAGCATGATTAGGTCAAACTAGGCTAACCTGACACAACTTATCCATTGGTAGGCCGGGTGAGACACCCATTGCGGCGTTAATAGCTTCGTTGGATATGTCAGTAGGAGGCTATCAGTGTCAATAACTAGTGTGCCAACGCTTCCTTTTATCCATAATCATTATTGTCGGCTTTACAATTTGATGCATGGGAATGAAGACCATGATAAATAGGTTACCATGTATTTCGAAAAACCATTATGAAGATGATGACTAACCCATATAATTTCAGAAAGCCAGTAGCAAAACAGGAGTTCAATGTTCTAGAATGATTAAGGAAAAATAGAATCATAGCAAAATATACAAATCAGGAAACTATTGATTGAGTGACATTGCTTTTGATCTCAAAAGGGAAGAACTGAGTTTCAAATACCACCCAAAAACAAAACTGGCATACTTATAATTCCAGTTGCTAAGTCGGTCAAGAAGCCAAGAAATCAATTTAAAATGCAATTGTTTACTGAAGAAAATAAATAACCAGAGTGACAAAAGAATTAATTCAATAAATTCTAGTAAATGGAAACGAAAACCGCATGTTAGAATACAATAGAAGCATGAGATTATATTTTCTTAAGAAAAAAAATTTCCACAATATAGGAAGGCATACCCTGAAGCAACCGAGGAGATGAGCGCAGAGGATTCGTGTGAGAGGAAGCAGTTAGAGCAAGATGGGCTCGCATGCTCGTTCGGACGGCTCGGCTAGTGTTGCACAGCCGCGAGAGCCTGACGCTAGAGCATGATAAGGAGGTGAGGAGGAGGTTAAGCGGCGGCGGGAGTATCCGGTGAGGGCACTCCATGAGAAGGTCGAATGGCTGAACAACGAATATGCCTCCTGAAATTTTACTTGACAAATGCTTTTATTTTATTTTTTTAGGGAATTATTCCTTTAATTTTTTTTCGTATGAATTGCTTTTTAATAAAATATGAGTCATGCATTTATAAATAATATAAAAATTCGGATTAAGAAAATCACTCGGATAACTCTTTGGGAAATTTACATACATATCATTTTATACCATCCTATTTATATATTTAACATTTAAAACTTTAATATTACATGCATATCACTCTATATTATTTTAATATCAAATATATCACTCGTATTTTCTTCCTACCACTCATATATTTCATTTTTATCACTCATATTTGATTTGAAAATAAACTAAGGGTTGTATGTATGTAATATTAAAGTTTTAGATGTTAAATATGTAAATAGAGTATTATAGGGTGATATGTATGTAAATCTCCCTAACTCTTTTCCATGCACTAGTTTCATAATCCGGTTATAGGAGTTTTCACACCAAGCTCTTCTAATGACTGAAGATTATTTTTCAGATACTTCTCGTTACATAAATTTGAATGAAATCATTGCATATTCAACCTTAACAATCCTAAAATATAATGAGATGAAAGAAAAATCTTAAAATTTATAGCAAATAAAAATAAAACCCAATATTTAGAAGTATTTGTTTGGAGCCTAGGATATGAATATTTGATGCAAAATAAGGATTGAGAAAGTTTAATAAGACCTATAATAAGAATTTCAAACATAGATTACACACTAACCCCTAACTCCATTTGACTATATAAAAACCTATTAGAACAATGTTTTTATAATATTTATAATATGTTTGAATCTTGTGTGAGCCATTTTTTACTATTATTTAAACAAAATTTATATATGGTTAAAGCATGATTCCAAGATGATTATGAAGGTTCCAACATGGCTCAAATAGGGTTTTAATGAGGTTTAAATTTGGTAAGAACAAGATTCTGAAATTGTTCAAAATTTATTCAGACATTGTTCGAATTTGATTCGAACATTATTCAAACGAGGTTCTAACTTTTTCTTCTTATTATCTTGTATAAAAGTAATTCATTTTAGTTAATTTGTTATGTACATAGATCTGAGCTAATCATACATGTAGAGAAGTATTACTACTCGGGTCGTATATATAATAAGGTTGCAATGGATAAAATGTTTTCTTAGATTGAGATTTATAATGTTTTTGAAATAGTTGACGAACCCCCCTTTATGATTATTTTATTTTTTTTGCTCTAAAGCTATAGCTTTTCAGTGCTCTAATTCATTAACTTCCACAAAGATGATTCATAATGGAGAGAACAATGGATACTCCATCGTGTTCAATATTGGAGGTACAAAAGCTTTATAATTGTTGGGTTTGCTTTTATTGCTCATGATTTAGTGAATTATCATATGAGAAAATAACTTTAGGAGATGACTATAAGTAATAAGTAAATTAATAAATAACTAAAGGGACATAATAATTTTAGGAATGTGAACCTGTAGATTGCATCATACAGTGTGCTGATAGGTATTATCTATATAAATTAAATTTATACTTTCTTGTCGACGGAGTTATGCTCGAATATAAGAAGTATAGTTTGGTTTTCACTGAAATGCTATTATTGGTTAGAGATGAGGAATTATTCTTTGGATGCTAACGAATAGATTCTGGAAAGAAAACACTGAAATGGTTAAATAAATATATTGTGAGAGAAATGACGTAAAGAATAAAGCCTTGATGCATTACAATATCACTATATATGCCATACATTACACTAGTAGGCTAATGAAGTCATCTCAAAATTGGAGAAGAAATGTGTAAAGTACCTTAGAAAGATTGCACTAAGGATGTTGAGCTGAAAGTGTAATAAAGTGGTGGCATGCAAATATATTTTTCCAATATTAATGAATAAAAATGTAAATTATATGCATAACGTACACTAAATTCTTTATTTTAATTTAGGCTATTTTTTATTTGGAATTAGCTTTTAAGCTTACATTAAATACTTTTTTTTAGTTATTATTAGCCCTACATTAGTGCACAATGTACATAAAGATGATTTTTAATAAGTTAATCATACCTACTCCTCCTCAACCTCCCCTATTTAGCATTATGAAGAAAAAAGGGGACAATGTCACAAATTATAGGCAAGTGTGGGTCATAATGAGAAATAGATAAGAGAGGAACTATATGGAATACGAAAAATAGGCAAGTCCATGCCCTTAACTAGTCAATTCATGACCTCTTCTGATTACCTGAAGCAACTTTCTTGCATTTGCTTGGGATCTGAAAGTTAATATGTTCATATTAGAGAATAACCAACTTAGGTTGTGGTAGAAATTGGATGCTCTAAATAATTTTGCTTAAAGATTTACACATATGAAGGATAAAGAGAATAAAGATGTTGATTGTAGCATATATAAGTATGGGGAGAGGAAGGATAGTGAGGACATCCTTGCCACCCTTTTTTTTTGAGGGGACGGGGGTGAGGGTTTTGAGGGTTAGAGATGAGGTATTTAAGAAGAAGGAAGATAGGATGTAGATTTTTTACTAATTCTAAAATTCATATGCATAATAAAGATAATGCAGTGAATGAAGCTGAAGATGTTATCCTATCTCTTTAGAATATATGTAAAAATGATAAAAAAAAAAAAAGTTAATATATTATCAAAAGAGTGGTATAATAAATCCTAAGTACTTATTTGGAGATTTTATAGATCCATTAGACAAGAGGAACAAACTAATAGTTCCATACTCTATTAATCTCCTCTACTTAATTGAAAAAGAGTATATTTTATTAAGGTTTGGATGGTAGAATTGGAAAACAACTCAAAAGAAATGGAGCAAGGGATGCGCAGTGGAAACATAGTGCAATTATAATAGTTGAATACGATCATAGCTTAACTAGGCATCAAGCAAGTTATTAGATTATTTTATCAATGGCATGACAACATTTTAAACATATGATTGCTCCATGTTACTCATTAGAATTTAAATCTTTTTTACAGCACATCAATGTTTTTATTTTACCTAATAAGGGAGATGATATGGTGTTACCTAAGGACATATGGATAAGTCATCATTTATTAGATAAACTAACTGATTGATATAATTGATTTGTGGTGTGGAAAGCTTTTGGTACTACTACACAAGTGCACATGTCAATCAATTAATAAAGTTTTGAGTAGAGTGTAGATCAAGTGAGAAAAATTATGTCCTAGAAATACCCATAATATTATCTACTTCAAAAGCAAAATTTATCCTACTAAGTCATGTTGAAATTAGTTTTCTAATAAACTACTGCACTTATGAAATGATAACTTAATCAAAGAAAAATGTTCTAAACTTATGATCATGAAGGATGCAATATTTTCCTGAGTAGACTCTTCTAAGATATGTTTTGAATTAGAGTATATGCACCCTTAGATCTCTGTCAAGATTATATGGCCAACCTTACAAATTAGAAATGAAAACTATTTATACTTAATACAGAAACCTAACACATGCATCATGACATTATACATGTATGCATCACAACATTTTGAATGAACTAGCATTACTATGTTGATGTCTGGTAACTATTATGACATTGGGCTAAATTGACATGATGCTTCAATAGTGAACTACTCCAACTTCCTCACCTTGGTGCTACTAACAATTTGGCACCCGATGCCACCATGGCATTGGGACTCTTAAGAAGAGAACACATGGCATTGAATTAATAGTGTATTTTCTAGAAATAATTGGTGTAATGGTGCCCCAAATAATAGTTCTGATGTGCTTTGAATGGTCAATGATAAAAGGTTCAATGTTGGGCTGTTGAATTAATATGCAATAAATTTTAACATACTTACAACACAAGGCTCTAGAGTGGCGCTGGGGCATCGTTGGCATTGAGGCAAGTAGTGAAAGAGCTCTATGGCACTAGAGCCAAATTCCTATTTTATGGCATTTTCTTGAATTTTTCTACACAAAAACAACCACAACAAATATTTTCACAGGAATATATTCTAGAAAATATTAAAACAATTTTAGCTTATAAATTTCCCCAACTTAAGTTATTGCTTGTCCTCAAGCAATTCCAATGAATTTATAAATTATATCATTTTCTATTCATGAAATTGCATTTTAGAATAATTAAAAGCAAAAGAATGTTTCACTTCAAGTTTTTAATTGCAATAAGGAAAAGGTTGACAATCTCAATCAAAGCAATCATTAGCAAATATCATAATTAATCATTTTCATTAATATTTTTACTAAGCTCAACTTCTACATGTGCATGTGCAATTCTTGACTACTTATTAAGGTTGAATGATTTATCTTTTAAGAAATTTTAATACTACAGTTAACCTTCCAATTCAATTACCAATATTAGTATGCATTAGAATGCGTACACTTTCCCTAATGAATCTTAATTATAGGTCCTTTTAAGCAAAGTTTGACTTTTATGGTACTAGTTTTTTATATTCCATCACTCATTTTCTTTTCATAACTTTTTCACTTTTTTCTTTTTTTCTTCTTTTTCTTTTCACAGTACTATGATAGGGATGTTGAATGCCTGATTGCTTTCTCCCTTCTAATAACATAGTTTTGATGTAATTAAGGGTAGTTGTTAGAATTTCACTACAGAAAAATCTGTCATTACCGTCAGACTTTTCGGTAGACATATATGGGCCAAAAAAAGTGGTAGAGTAACCGACAGAATATATGATGGTAACTTTATGGTGGAACTACCGATTTAAATTCCGACGTGACGGTACTAGTTTATATTCTACCAGTATATTTTATATTACGGTGTAATTTAAGCCAAAAATTATCGGCTGAATCAGCGACTTAAATTCTATCGTCTTACTTAAACTCTAAAAAACATTTCTTGCATATTAACCACTGATAAAAAATCAGCCATAAAGTCCGATAAAGAGAGCCCTATTTTGACCGCTCCACCTTCTTTCTTCTCATTTTTCCCTCTTTATTTTAGTTCACTCCACTCGCATCTGAGACCTGCCCCGAACACTGCCTCCATTGCGACAGATCCCTCACTGA